CCGTGGGAGCAGGTGGCAATGTGAATGGAATTATTGGGGGGTTATAGACATATCCAGTTGGACTTGGAGATGGAGGACGTTTAGTAGTAGGCGTTGCTCTACGTGGAGGGGGTGTGTAGGTGTATCCCGTGGGAGCAGGTGGCAATGTGAATGGAATTATTGGGGGGTTATAGACATATCCAGTTGGACTTGGAGATGGAGGACGTATTATTCTAGGTGTTGTTTTAGGTGTTGTTCTAGCTGCAGGGGTTGGGTAGGTATACCCCGTGGGAGCTGGGGTTGGATACGCGTAGCCCTTCAGCGGTGGATATAGACGGTCGAGCGAGCCCTGTAAAAAAGACTCCATTAGCTGGCTGCTTAGCCGAGGTTCATACAGACACAACCCACCAGAAATGCATCCTGTCGACGAGAATCATCCAACAGGCACTGGGCTGCGACAGCGCACAGAACAATGCACAACAAGCGAAGTTGCTGAAAAGATAAAAGACGAAGTTAAATACATATGAAAGATCATTGTCTTAACCTGTATGCAGTGTATAGCTTTTGACAGCATTAGGTTTACCCAAATACAGTGTTTATATATTTAGAAATTTTTTATGTATATAAGTATAACATTAAAAAAAGGTCACAATAGGCACAGCTCTTGTAACAAAGTTAGTCGCCTTTTAACGTGGTAGGCTCCATTTGTAAATGACATTGGGTGAACGGACTGAAAAGCATTTGTTTGGAATGATTTTCAACTATTGGCTACCAATGACAGGCTGGCCCAAAGGCGCCCTCATTCCCGCATGGCTCATAGACCATTGCGGCAGCAGTAACAAGAGTAAAAAAAAAATGTAAAAAAAAAAAAAAATCAAAAACAGGTAGCAGCTGCCACAGCATCTGATTTCCACTTAGAGTCAATGTCAGCGCATCCGTAATTAGCATGCGGCACTTTGAACCGACTATAGTCTAATTAATACATAACGTATTAGCACGTTGTTACGCGATTTTCATAGTTTTATGCTCGATTAGATCAAATAACTTTATTGAAGTTTGATGAATTGAATTGCCGCGAATCGCTCGACTAGTTCTGCTTCTGCCTTGAAGTGGTAAAAGTAAATTGCGAACTAATTTGAATGCTTTTGTCGCAGCTATCATCTGACAAATCCGTCACGTCGCAGATTAGCGAAATCATTCATAAACATCGCTGAGGGCATTTAAGTCTTCAGCCGGCTGACTGTCTTTTGTTTTTAATGCTACACTTTCAATTCTAGCCATTAAGCTGATCGATTTATTTGTAGAGGCGAGCAAACAAGTCTGGCACTCGAACCCGGAATCTAAACGTTCCAATCGAAGCTCATAAATTACTTAGGGCAGAGCGGGTGGGGGGGGGCGATCAAAGTAGAGAATCAAAGATCGCCTTGAGTGAACTCTCGATGCCATAAACTTCTAATAACGAGCTATCAAGCGAATCGAGTCCGTAAACATATAAAAAGACAAAGCCAACAGCCCATCCAAATGTATATACAAATTGTTTCAAACTCCCACGCAGACGAGTTATTTTGATTAATTGAAATTAAAGCAAAAGACAACAGCCAACAAATTATAAAACGGCACTCCGCACAGCCGCCATCAACTCTCAGCTGTCAATTTGACAACTCGGAATTCATCTACTCTAAAGTGCAATTGCAGTTGGAGCCAAAAGAAAATAAATAAACTATATAACAGCTTGGTTCAGAGTTCTCTGCTCTAGGCTACATTCGTTACGTCTTTATGGCCTAAAGTGCCAAACTACTATTTTCGTACAATGCTGGCCATTAAGTCGCTGCCCAAGTAAGTGTAGAAGTTGTTGAAATGTTGTTAGATACATGTGTGTGTGTGTATGTATATGGCTGTGACTCAGGTGTCATACTATAAATTCTTAACGTGATGAGCAGAAGGCGGACCGCAATTCGCATTTTTTATACAGCTTAACAGATATGGAATTGTTAAAAAAAAGGTATATATATGTATAATGAAATATTAATTTTGGTCATGTGTTTTGTGGTTGAGAGCTTTAAATTTCCGCTCTACTTAATAACTATAAACATATTTGAATTTGGCTATTATGAAATCTCTTGACAATTTGCCAACTCATCGTTCTGTAGGCATTGCAACAGCTGCACCCACAATTGACTGATTCCAGGGTATCTGATTGCTGAATCAGAAGTTCACTTTTACAGCTATGCGTAATGGCAGAGACAACAGGTTCAATAATCAGCTAGAAGGCGTGTTAATTGTCACAATTGAGGCGTGTGAAATTGCCTCTCCCACTCCTCTCTGTCTCCCTCTCTCTCTCTCTCTCTCTCTGGCTGTGAGTGTGTGAAGACGACCTTGAGGCGCAGCTGAGTGTGTCTTGTTTTTATTGCTGACATTAAGTTCAGATTCGCTGTCCCCAACTTCTATTCTGCTGCGCCATATGTAACACATATACATACATATACAATAGTATATATATGTATATATATATATTATATCATTCATTCATCAAGTTCAGCTTTTGGCTGTCCACACATTGCGCATACGCAACGTTGTCAAGTCTCTTGCCACACTTTTGGGCAGCCAAGAACTGAGCGCAGAGCTTGAAGCGCGCTAAGTGCTTTTTCTCGAGGGGATTTATGAATGTGTTTCCGGTTGATGGCTTTTCGCATTGCCAACAAACCTTTTTTCTTTTTTGG